AATGTTCCTCATAAGAAAGATATGGACCGGACACTTTCAAGGCGGACAGCTAGACAGCTTGAAGGACAAGGTGATTCCTCACCCCCCCCCCCCCCCCCAAAAAAAACTTCGTTTGCGGTGGTATAAATAGGTTATTCATTAAAATAATTACGAAAAATGAAACAGTTGGGGATGAATAGAATGACAGATTATGTTGGTTACATGCAAATTTTTGCAGGGTCCTAATAAAGCTGTTGGAATGCATGCATGATAGCTGAATTTGAGCTATTGTCTTGCTTGAACAAAACACAACTGAACTTCATGAAGTTTATTTAAATACTCCAAAATTATTAGGTACATTGTCAAAAATTAATGAACATTTCATAATCATCTTTTCAAAAAGAGAAAATATTGATTGGTTATCTGATAGTATAGATTAAAGCTGTTTAGTTTTAAAGCAAATAAAATCAGTTGGAAAGAAATTCAAAGTTTGATAGGATTTACACGGCTATGAGAACTAAAGAACTGTCGTTCACACTGAGCTGGTTCCAGACTTATCTTCCAATTCAATGGCACATTTTTTATTAGAGCTGGCCTCAAGCTCAATCAGATCTCTCTTTTCCTTCTCAGAAACAGACATGCTCTCATCAGTATAAGTAGTCTGCAGGTCAGATCCTTTTGTATTCAGTGGATGGACTTTATTGTGTCTGGTAACTACCAACCCTTCAAATCTGGGACTCTGGGTTTCCTTGAGTGGGTCTGTAGGAGTGATGACTGACGGTGTAAGGTCATGCAGTAATGTAGGGGCTGAATCAACAGAATCCTGGTCTTGCTTGACAGTCGTCTTGTTTGGTTTCAAGTCATAATCAACAGGATGAACTTTACTTGATTTCATCAGGTTTGGATCATTTGAGCCGGGAATCCTTGTCTGATCTGCCCTCCTTATTTCTGGTAGCACTTGATTTGGAAATGCAGGTTTAGTTGGGCCCATAGTCGTCTTTCTTAGGTTCTGTTTCAAATGCTGCTCTGCCTTTTCTTTCTTTGTTTTCTTGCCTGATGAGGATTTTTTTCTCCGTCTTCTCTTTTCTTGATGGTCTGTTTTGCTGATGCAATGGAATCCTTGACTGGTAGCAAAGGCTTAAAGTTGGATTTCAGAAGGCGGTTGCTGTAGTAATCAGCATCATGTTTCTGTTCTACCCAATTCTGTACCGGAACCTGCATTAATAAATGTTTTTTAGTTAAAAAAAAATTAGAAAGGAAAAATTTTAAAATGCCTGAAAATGTTGAATTATATTCCAGAATAAACAACATGTGTTTGTGAAACACTGATCACCCGCATGGCAGCTTATGGTGAGGGTTGCATTCCCTTAAGGATAAATAACACAAACTTTTTTTCAGAAATCAGGAATATTTCTGATAGATTTACATTTTAATTGGTAACCTGAAAAATGTTCATCAAGTATAGTGGTAGAATTTTGTAAGATTTTGTCATAAGGATAACAAGAGGCCCAAGGGCCTTGAATCGCTCTTCTGATAAATTGTACAACCTATCACTTGTATTCGAAGCCTCTAACCCTAAGTATCCTAAGACCAAAGTTGCATCACCTGACAAAGTTTAAAGATTCTTAGCCAATTAGGACTACTTCTTGGTCTACATTCTTGGAAAACCCAAAATGCATCAACTGACAAAGTTTGATGATTCAAGGCCAATAAGTACCGGAGATACTTAGATATAGCCATAAAATGTCGAAAGTAGGTCACCTTGACCTACATTTTAGTCAACATTTTTCAGAGTCCCAAGATGCATCTGCTGACTAAGTTTGATAATTCTAAGCCAATAAATACCAGATATATTCAAAAGTAGGTCATCGTGACTTACTTTTTGGTCGACATTCTCTGAAAACCCAAGATGCATCAACTGACAAAGTATGATGATTCTAAACCGATAAGTACTGGAGATAATTAAATATAGCCATAAAATGTCGAAAGTAGGTCACAGTGACCTAATTTTTGGTTGTCACTCTCTGAAAACCCAAGATGCATCAACTCACAAAGTTTGATGATTCTAAGCCAATAAATACCTAAGATACATAAATATAGCCATAAAATGTTAAAAGTAGGTCACTGTGACCTACTTTTTGGTCGACATTCTCCCAAAACTCAAGATGCATCAACTGACAAAGTTTGATAATTCTAAGCCAATAAGTACTGGAGATACTTAAATATAGCCATAAAATGTCGAAAGTAGGTCACCGTGGCCTAATTTTTGGTCGTCACTCTCCGAAAACCCAAGATGCATCAACTCACAAAGTCTGATGATTCTAAGCCTATAAATACCTAAGATACTTAAATATAGCCATAAAATGTCGAAAGTAGGTCACCATGACCTACATTTTGTTCGACATTTTTCAGAGTCCCAAGATGCATCTCCTGACCAAGTTTGATGATTTTAGGTCTGAAGGTAATCAAAATATGCCTTTTAAACAATTTGAAAACATATGCCTGCAAAATTCTAAAAGTAGGTCACAGTGACCTACTTTTCTTAAATATGTTTTAAGGTCCCAAGATGCAGCAACTTACAAGATTTGATGATTCTAACCCTTTCAGTGCCTGAAATAATGGGATTAAATGTTTTAAAAAGGATAAGTCATAAAGTTCAAAAAGTAGGTCACGGTGACCTACTTATAAGTTGACGTTGTTCAAGGACCCAAGATACATCAACTGACTAAGTTTGGTGATCATAGGCCTTAAAGTGTCCAAAATATGCCTTCAAATCAATTTGAAAACAAATGCCCGCAAAATTAAAAAGTAGGTGACCGTGGCCTACTTTTGAGTTAACATGATGTGAAGTCCTAAGATGCATCAACTTACAAGATTTGATGATCCTAGTCCTTATAGTAAGCAAAATATAAACATTTTTATTAATTGTAAATTTAGGTCAACTTTAAAGTGACCTTGAGACCACGCCCTTTGCCCCAGGGTCATGCCTTGAACAATTTTTAATCTTCAACATATCCTGATCCTTGTATGTAAGTTTGGTGAAAATCTGCCTGGTGGTTCTGGAGAAAAAGATTTTTTAGCAACTAGTACTTTTGGTTTTGTTTTCCTGATTATCTCCCCTTGTTTTAGGGTCCCAACCCTTATTTTAATATAAATGGTAGCCCTTGGGCCAAGGATACCCTGTGACAAATTTGGTACTGATTGGCCAAAGGGTTCTTGAGTTATGGCCCATATTCTAAAAAGTTAACGCACACCGCACAAATGGCCATAGCATTAGCTCTTTGAGCCTTTGGCTCAGAAGAGCTAAAAATTTGTGCAAAATTTTGTATGGAATTATAAAGAAAACAAAACAAAATCTCATATTTAAGCACCAAGGAAATCCTATGATTTCTTTATATTTCAGGGATTTTTTATTCATGTCATTTCAAGTCAAAATCAGACAAAAAATATATATCGATCCATGCATCAAATTTTTGTTTGTGTTAAGTACCCTTAAATGCATGTCAAACTCCAAATGTCAAGGTCAAAAGTGTTGGTACCAAAAGGAAGGTCATGTTACAAAGGATACACCTGTGAAATATGAAGGCCCTAGTTTTAACTGTTCAAAAGTTTTATATAACCAAAGTTAAAGTGTTTAAAAAATGGGTCAAAGTCTTAGGTCAAGTTCAAAAGTTAAATAATATTTATACTAGCTGAAAGTTCTTGTCACAATGAATACATATGTGAAGTATGAAAGCCCTAGCTCCAACTGTTCAAAAGTTATGGCCATGGTTAAAGTTTTTTTTTTTTTTAAAAAGAAGGCCAAACTCTAAGGTCAGGAGGTCATTTGGTGGTACCCAAAGAAAGGTTTTGTCACAAGGAATACGCCTGTGAAATGTGAAAGCCATAGCCCCACCCACTCAATGTCATGGGCTAGGTTAAAGTTGACAACAGACACACAGAGAGACAGACAGACAGGACAAAAACAATAATACCCCCGGGATCTTTCAATCTAGGATTTTTAAAAATTTTTACCATTTCCTTTTTATCAGGCAATGGAACCTTTTCTTCAGTAAAGTTCTGTACAAAGAAATAGGTAGAATACATATAAATATATACACTTGACAGGGCATTCATGCCATAAGGACATGTTTTAAATTTCTTATATATTTTTTCCAAATTGAAATGAAATATAAATTGCTTTAAATTTTTTTTGAAAAATTACCTCTGATTCATCAAACATGATCTCTGGTTCTTTCCAAAGTATTCCAGATGAGCACTGCAATACAAATACAGAATATAATTTAATCAAGGAGGAATCTTTTTAAAAAATTGATATACTATAGATTCAGAAATACTTTGTAAAAATATTCTTCAAAAAGAGTAAAGAAATTAAAAAACAAATAATATCATGGTAAATAAACCTATCTATTTTTGAAAAAAATAAAGTATTTTCGACAGCCCTACCTGATCCCCAGTCTGCCCTTCTTCTCCTAAAATAGAAAATGTAACAAATTTCATTTAAGTTTCAGTTTCCTAGGAGATCATCTTCAATTCTAAAGGCACTGTAAATGTGCTCAAAAAAGTATATTCAACAGGAACACAATCTTCCTCATGATTCACTTAAATAAATCTGTATTTCATCAAAACCTGATCCTCTCAGAATATTTGTTGGTTCTTCATTTGATCTACCAGTAATTTGAATCCCCCTTATCCATTGATTGTAAATGAAGTCAACCAGTAAAGTTACAAATATAAAACCTGATACACAAAGGGCTTAATGATTCAACAGGGATGCAACTTTGGGTATTTTGAAACAAAGGTATAAGTGGTAACAAGTATGGCAATATCTACCTTCATCTGATTTGTTCAGACTGGCCGTGGAAGCTAATGTAGACTGTGACCCAAGAAGTCTGAAAAAGAAATTGTCAAATACATGAAGTGCACAACAACACAATATAAAATAATAGTCACTGTGACAAGATTTCAAATCTACAATGCATTTTATCATTTATCTTGTACCAATTCATAATTGTTCTACATTTTATCATATAATTCAAAACTGATTTTACTCACTCTTTTTCATAGGGTTCTTTCCTACAAGAAAAATAAAAAGATTCTTTTAAAATTATTTTTTTTTATAGGAGTATTCATGACATAC